TAAATAAACAGAAAGGTTATTTGTACGAAGAGAGGTATTTAGACAAATTGAATATCTTGCAGTCTAGTGATCAAATTAGTGAAATATATTTTACAATCGTGTTGTATTCGAAATTTTTTTAGGTAGCAATTTTATCCATGTCGTAAAATATGCAATTTTGAGTTCTCCGGGACTCGGAGCTTGTAATTAAGTTTACAACCAGATATTAAAATACATTCGTTATCAATATCCGAAAAAAATTAATCTAAAAAAATATACTAGAAGTAAGTACAAGTGAGTTTTAGGATATTAATACTGTAGAAGCTGTAACTGTTAGATACCAACTTGCTCCGAATATAGTAAAGCGTATAGTATATGCACCGAATATAGTAAAGTGTATGCCTATTTATTAAGTTTTAATATTGAGATGTTTAAGGTAGGGCCACATTTTAGGGGTTGATACATTCATTAATTTCAATACGTTTGTGCTATCCATTATGTTTGTGCTAATGGAATTTTTATAGCTATTACGATTAATAAATTGATAATTCTTCAAGATTTTCACTTTTCCGAAGAAACATTGTAATCAAAGATTCCATAATAACATTATGTGCTAATTTCAACATTGCTTCATCAGAAAGGTATTTAATAAGGCCTTCATGCTTAAGCCATGTTACTATCCCATTTCCCATTAAACTAGTATCGAGATCCTTTAAGAAAGCCTCATATTCAAAAAAACGGGTTTGTAAGATTAGAGTGCGTTATGCCAAATTATATTAGTGGTTTCCTTTCTTCAAGAGATAATGTTGAAAGGTATGTTCGCACAAGTGATTTGGAAACCTTTCTTTGTAACGGATTACTCCATAATATTGATATTGTGTTTAAACACCAAAGACGATTATCAAGACAGCATGAGAATACACTTTTACTATCGTTTGCAAAATTGTTATAAATTGTGTAAATACACTCGTTTGGTATTTCTTTCATGGTATCTGAATATACAGTATGTACATACATAATTTCGTCATTCGAAAATTCGATAATGATGACGATAAAATTTATTTTGCAATAAAAGAAAATTATGATATAAATTTCAAATAAAAGTAAGAAATGACAAGAAATAAATTTCTTTTTCCTTTTTATTTATGTAAATTTGCTTAACACGTCATAGTTATTTACATAGATTTACAATAAGATCTTCCTGAAATCAAAGCTAGCTCTAAAAATTAGGCAAACCTTAGTTGCCGGACCATAGTATAACTAGCCGGTCTATTTTTTTGGTTAGAATGCTAATCTACTGAACCAACTCGATTTTGCCACGAAACTGGATTATGATCGATCGCTAAAATGCTTAAACTTAACATAAGCCGAAATTTATGTAGAATGACGAGGCAGGATATTATTAGATTGTCAAAAATTAGTATCATATATTAGTAGTCAAAATTTCATTTAAGAAAGTAAATTCATTTACTAGCATCAGTTACTAGGGTGCGACATTAACTAAGTAATCAAAGCTAACTATGACATGTTTTACATCACAGATTTTTCAGGTTACACGAGCACTTAATTTTTATATCAATATATAGTAATGTAATACAATAATATAATATAATCATTGCTAATGTCAACATAAAAATTTCAAAACGATTCAACTTCTTGTCAAAGCATCAAATTACCTTGAAGTTTTTACAAACTGTTTATAAAATGTTAAAGAATAAAGCTATGTTTAAAACTTTTGTACTAATGCATAAGTTTTGGGCTTTTGTTATATAGAGCATTTTAAAATTTATTATTTTAGATAAAAAAATTTTTCTCAAAGCCATAAATTGAATTTTACTTGAAGTTTTTGCAAAAAATCAAACATAGAACCTTCGAGATAGTTCTAATGAATGTACTTCATTCAAAAGAAACTCGAAAAATAAGTACAATTTTTGTCTGAATCTTTTAGAAACTTGCATTTTTTTTATAATTAAACAATATAAAAGTAATTTCAATTTTCATTTCTGATATTGCTAATAGAAATTTGATCATAGTAAATTGATCAATATAGCTAACATAGTTTTGATTACTTAATAGATGTCGCACCCTAATCAGTTACGTAAAATTTCTTATTTCATTGATACACAGTTTCGAGTTTGAGAACAGTATCGCTGGTTTGGCACAAAACCTAGACTGATAACACTGATAGTAGGTTTTGCATACATTATTTTCACATTAATCTGAGTGACGGGACGTGAAAACCTGTAAATCATTTCATTCAATATCATTGCAGTGATATCTACCCCTATAAGAAATAGGGGTACATATCTTCACGTCCCGTCACTCATATGCAGTCTACCCTCGTTAATATCAGCCTAAGCTATAAGATGAATTTTTACAAATTTTTATACATAAAATTCCCTCATATATATCAACTTTAATACAATCCCTTGTTAATATCACTATCACATGAATTTAAAAAGGTTGATATAAACGAGGGTAGACTGTATATAAAATTATTAAATATGATCGATTATCTATTTATATTTTTGATAAATAAAGTAACACGCGACAAAAAGGACGGTGGCTCCTGCTGTACTTGAAAGACCTGCAACTATCTTCATATTAGGTGTGTTATCGACTGAAGTAGAATTAGTTAAAGATACCGTGTTTGAAGGTATCGCATTTGAAGATGTCACGTTTGAAGGTGTTGTATTCGAAGGTATTATGCTTGAAGATGTCACGTTTGAAGGTATCGTACTTGAAGATGGCACGTTTGAAGGTGTTGTCCTTGAAGGTTTTATTGTTCTTGAAGGTTTTATTGTTTTTGAAGGTTTTATTGTTTTTGAAGGGTTTATTGTTCTTGAAGGCATTAATGCCCTTGAAGGTGTTGCACTTGAAAGTATTTTGCTTGAAGCATTGTGAGAAGCTGATGTAACCCATAAAAAACTTTTTGTATCAAGTATATAAACGTTGATACTAAGATTATTCTCTTCATCAAATTTTTCTCCTGAAAATTCAGCTCCTGAATCATATAGAAAGGGTATAAGAATGTTGTTTTCTATTACAATATAATAATATTTGATATATACATAATTACCAAATGTTATTATCATATAATCACCAACTAATGCGGCTGTGTGATAGGCAAGCGGTGGTGGAACGTTTTTATCCACATTATGTTTACTATACCATTTATAAATTTCAGGCTTTGTATCTAACACGGCTAATGATGGTTTTGGAACCTCAGAATTATTATTGGAAGCACCGCCATAGATAACTATCAATCCATCTGATGCTAAAAAAGTGAATAATATGTATTTATAAGTTTAAGTAAATCAAACGGAATTTTAACTTTAATGTTAAATACATTCACACACTTAACACAGCTGTATGAAATTTACGAGCTTGGATTGTTACATCATCGCAATCTGCAGTCTAAAAAATAAATATTATATTAATATAATATTAAATATTATTAATTGAAACACAATAAAAATTCCAAAATGTCTTATATACCATAGAAGTCCAAGTTCCAGAATTTGTGTCGAATATTGAAATCTAAGACAATGAAAACAATTATGAAGGTTAAAAAAGTTCAAATAAATCTCGTATACTGTATAATATATATATTTACGTAATTCATATCAATTTCCTTGCATTTAGAATCATCATTTGTTCCCCCGATATAGACAATAAATGAATTTGGTAAAAGTGTCGCAGTATAACCTGATCGGGCAGTCGGTTGAATTATAGATGAAGATGCTATATACTGCCAAGATAATTTTAAAGAATCTAGAATGTACATATCATTATCGAACTTATGAAATTTTGGATTATATCCGCCAAAAATATACATTTTACCGTTAAGATCACATGCTGCATTAATATTTTGTTTAACTGGAGGTATCTGATCTGGATTTATTATTGTCGGTATGCTCCATTCTTGATTTATTGTATCAAAAGTATATGTTATTGTATATTTTAATTTATCGTTATCTTTTTTATGATCAAATAGAAAAATTGTTTTATTATTTTGACCTCCAACACATGATGTTGCAAATGCACTATTAATAGGAATAGGTGCATTGGTCGTCAAATCAGTCCATAAAGGTTTTTTGGAGTCGAAAGGTAAGGAAACATCCAAATAAAATATTTCATCAGAACCTATTCCACCTAGAAAGTAGAGTTGAGTTCCAATCAGAACACTACTATGGAAACAACGACCTAGAGGTACAAAACTTGTTGATGCAACAATTAACAAATTAATAAATATTACTATTAACAAGTAAAGGTACTTTTGAAGAGAACTCATGTTTACTCTTGATTATATAATAACACGTTTGCGATCATTTTATAGGATTACGGATTAAATTTACTCCACCTACCACTACGTAAATACATAAGTGCCACTTGATTAAATATTTCACATAGTGTAGTTAAGGTTAATGTAAATTAATTTAGGTGGTACTGCGTGACATATATCCATGTGGTATTTATGTGAGTAACCTAATTTATTCTGAAATTTACGTACTATGATTATGATCGACTGGAACTATCAGTTTTCAATTTAGCGGGAAAATTCTTTTTTTTTGTCTCACCGGTGATCAATATTACTTTCTCTACACTTCTAAATTTTTTTTTTTTTTTTTTTATAATATGTATTAGATATAAGGTTCTTGTAAGGTTTTCAGGGGCTCTGAACATTTTTACTTAGAGTACCCGATCCA